GTTGATGTTGTCGTGGATGTTGATGTTGATGTTGTCGTGGATGTTGAAGTTGTTGATGTTGATGTTGTTAATGTTGTTGAAGTGGTTGTTAATGATGTTGTTGTGGATATTGTTGATGTTGTTGTTGATGTTGATGTCGTAGTCGGTTCTATTTTTAAAAAAATCATGTTAGAGTCAGACTAAACAATTGGATAAGATTTTTTCTTTTTCTGAAACAATGTATCGGCGTTAAATATCAGTTGATTACGATAAAATAGGAAGTGTTTAAATGACTTTCATTATAATTATACTTCTACCATATTTACTTTAACTGTATCTCTACCATAATAACGAATCGGTAATCTAGACACAAACGTGTCCAATATCTCTGTCAAGTTGTCTTAGTTCTCCATAACTTCAAATTTTTTTCAAAAAAACTAATTTTTCTCTCTCACAGATATATTTTCTTCCAAATCTATTGTATTTATACTGACCTGGCGGAAATCGCGTTTCACTAATAACATTCATACTAGTAGCATCCACATCAGCCAACATATTTGCATTATGGTTTAACATATCACCAAATAATTCACACTTAGAAGTTGATCGATAAAAAGTGGCTGCTCTGCATTGACTTTGAGTTAAACAGGCTACTTGACAATTTTTAATGTTTGATGTGATAACATTAATGAATGGTAAACATGTTGTATTGACACATTGAAATTTAGAATCAGGTATCAAAGACATTTGCATTGATCGTATGTCTTCTCCAATTGATCGTGTGATAATCATAAATAACAGCCATAAATAAACTCTTGTTGGAGCCATCAATCACCAGATTCTAAGTTGTTGAAATGAATTCAATTCCTAATAGAAGACAGAGTATTTATTGAGCAATAAATTCTTTTTTTTCTCCTCTGAGTGGGTGATTGATGGTGTTTTCTCTGAATTTATTTCATCAATTTAATCAGAAAAAGTAGTCAGGACTTCTTTTTTTTGAGTTCCTCTCATCAATTTAATCAAAAAACAGTGATGACTTTCTTGTTCTCGGAATTCATTTCATCAGTTTAATCAGGAAAAGTAGTCAGGACTTTTTTTTATTTTCAAACAAAATTTATTCATTCGGAAAAATAATTTTCCTACGTGTTTAAATATTATTTGAGGACAAATATATTTATAATTAGAGCTTTTGAGTTAGATAAAGAATGATCGATTCGAAAAAATTGACTTTTAAAAACAATATAATCAACATTTAGTTAGATATGAAATTTATTTACATATTCAAATCTGAATACTTCAAATGTATCCCATTGACTATACAATATATTAGTGAACTGTCATATCATTAATATAGAATAAAGTCAATCCTTAATATCTAAATGAACAACAATCAGATGAGTTGTTTGATCAGACAAGAAAATTAAACACTTCTTCAAAATCAAACACACTCGGCTTAAATTTCTATAACACAAAGTATAACAACATTTCTAAACTCTCTCTTTGTCTTATTCTTCCAATTTTTGATTGTTTATAATTTATAATTCAATATATAATCATTTTTTTCTTCATTGATGTGAAAATAATTCAAACAACTGAGATTTATATCTATATAGAATAGTTTTAATGGAGATTAAAACATCATATTTATTATATAAATTAGGATAAGCAGTATTTTTAGTATTCTAAAATCGCTTAAATAGTTGTTTATCATAACAACACATTCTAACGTACTTCTTTCTTAATGAAAAATATTCATTCAATAAATGTTTCCCTTATTTTTCTTTCATTTGTATGTTGCTATGATGTTTTATGTAGATGCCGAAAAAGTAACGATAGAAACAGAGAACTGTTAAAATCATTGAGACCTGTTATAATCACAATAATAGAAACTACGTTGTTTCAGAAAAAGAGAATTGCGTATGAATAAAAAGATGATGACAAGAAAAAATAACTTTTTCTCAATAGAAAACAGAATCACCATGATTACACCAAGAAACTAAGTTGATGACACGTCTTTTCTTCTTTCTGATATTTTGTCGAAAAAAAATAAAATAAATATTCTTTCATAGTTTAAATATAACATACACAACTCCAAGATAAATGATTATTTGTGAAAACTAAACATTTCTTTTTTTTCTTCTTCAGATTCTAATGACAATGGATTGTCTACTAAAACATACGCTATGCATGAAAACAATAATTCAAATATTTATTCGCAATACAACATTCATCTAGGGATTTTATATGTATTACAAGGGAAATTTTAAATTCATCTATAGAGGAAATTAAAATTTTAATTTGCCCCGAATTGCAACTTAGCCGGTAACATATCTATTGTTATTCTAATAGAAAAAAAAGAGATTACTGAATAATAAAAATTCTAATCTTAAACATGAAGTGTCATTTAAGGACAGGGTCAATAGTGATATCATAAATCACAACTTCTCCCTATATACGTATTCATTCGAAGTTAACAAGAAACACAATATTTCATGATCAAAATACTGAAATAATTGATCGAAAATCTTGTGGAATAGAAATCTCATTGATTATATTATCTTAGATGTTATACTAAACAACTATTTATTTATTCAATTAACACAACAGATCTACATCAAGTCGTGTATATAACTCATATAGAATCCAATATTACTCTGATAAATAAATTAAACATAGATGAAATGAGAAAGGTATTATTTTTTTATTTTTCTCAACAATTTTATAATAATATAAATACGATATAACTAAAGGGAAAGATATCATAGAGGTCATGCTGAAATAAGCAAAAAGCAGTTACGAACAGAAATATTTTATAGCTCAGCAGCCGCAAGTTTATTTCAATGGAATTGACTTGATTTGCAAATGTTACATTTCGACAAAACTTCAGTCGTATGATCGTTTCTATTTTGTAATGAAATAGGTAGTTTTCATCAGATATTGATAAATTGAGGAGGGTGTGTGTGTAGATAATATCAATATATATATATCCATCTAACTGTCTCATTCACACCTGATCGATATTATTTGCTATGATTTTGCTAGAAGATCAGCAGTATTTCAAATTGAAAATATAAATATATGACTCACATGTTTTGTTGCATGTTGTTGAATAATATCAAAATATATATGTTAAAAAGTCACTTAGTTTTGCATAAATATTTAAACAAATAGAGAAAGAGATTAATATTGATTTATTCATTTATATCTCTAACAAAGAAAAGTCTAACTAATATTTTATTTTCTTATTCTACGATAAAATACGACTGTTGAATAAATTTCTATTTGATCGTTCTATTTCATGTTAAAACTGAAAGTAAGTCGATATTATTTTGCATTTGATAGATAATTATGTAATTAAAAAAACATAGAGTTGGTAATTGAAACTTTTATTAGATTGTGACAAATTTCTTGACCATTATTTTTGCTAAATTATAGTTTTATATATATTAATTAATATTGAATTTTATCTTAGTATTCTCCTACGTCAAATGATTAAAGAGAAAATCAAATATTCTTTAACATCATCTAAGTCATGTCGCTGGAGTTTATATATACTGAACTATGACACTAAAAACATCGAAATCCTTTCAGTGACTAGTCAGACTTTGATATAAATGTTAATTTCTTACTAATATCTTCATTTTTACTCTAATCAGAAATTTATATTAAACTATCTCTTTGCCCAAAAATAATACTCAAAATATCATTCTTTTTAAATCAACTTCAGTTTTTATAGAACAAAATAGTTTATTATTTTCATCATTTTCAGATAGCTATGCAGAATTTCTATTTCTTTGCAGCATATTTCGATAAGAGTTTATAACTAAATTAAGTTTATATCTTGTGAATACTCATTTGATAAATATTTCTACTATTTGTTACATAATATTTCAATTTTAATATCTAAAATCTATTTCCTGATATTTATAGACAATCCAATGCTTTATTTTCTTATTTAAATTTCATAACATTCACCCATCATGTGAACATCATTCTATTTTTGTTCTTCAACCATCGATCATGTTGATTAGTATATAATGAAATTTCGAATGATCTAAATGATTTTGATTAAGGATGTGGGTGGGGGTGGATGAAGATTCGAAAACAGATGAATGCTCACATACACACCCTCAATAACTCGAAAAAACGGTGTATTTAAGATTTAATTTATTTAATGTTTAACAATTAGAGATTTCTCCGAAGCAACATTAAAGAAATATAACTTCCTTTATTTTATTAATCATCTCTAAACATAAAAATGTACATTACAATCGTATGGAGAAAGTATTTTTGTCACAGAAGTACAATATATCTTTAACACCACATTCCGATGAAAAAAAACTTAATAACAAACTCTGTACAATGTTCGATAAGTACAATTTCCACTGTCGAAGTATCACAGAATCTTATTAATTTCTTATTTTATCACCATTTTTGATTAATCTTCTGTTCATCTTATACAATTAATTCAATTATGAATTTAAGTTTTTATTTTCGTTTCTAATTAGAATACATATAGAATAAAATGAAAAAACACAATCAAATGGATGCTAACTAAAAAAAGAAGCTGCTTCTTGATATTTATCAAGTTCGCTAAATGCTAGTTAATTAGTACAAAAAATAAAAGAACAAAAAAAACGTTTTTCACATACAGATTATTTTAAAAAAATTGAAATGTGAATACATTTCGTTTTCGCGAGAAAAAGTTATTGTATAAATGTTTTTGATAGATTTTACGTGGAATTGTTGTTCTTGGCACATGAAAAACCAAGTCAAACAATATTCTGTCTCAATCACCGGAACAAACCATCTTGAGGGTGGGCGTGGGTTAAATAGAGTGCTTATATTCACCCACAGTCAAATCCACACCCACACCCTCAGGAAATATTCTTTTTGATGTATCTCTCTTACCTGGCACAACTTGAACAAATGCGTAAAATTGAGATGAACCTATATGTGATCCAAGATTTGTTACAATAGTAAATGAAGTCGATTCAAATTTCGATTGTATATCAGTTTTGATTTCAGTTACACATTGTGTAAAACAATAAACAGTCTTACTCACAATAGAACCTGCTTGAGTTGGATTGCAAAATACTACAGCTCTAAAAGAAGAAATAATATAAAATTTTTTTCACTTAACAAAAAAGATTTTAAAGTAGCTAACCGTAATTGTTGTAATTGCCGTTTTCTCCTCTTGGTGCTTGTAATACTGCCAATATCCACGCAAGTCGATTTAACACTTAATACACCGTTCGAGTAACCCATTTTTTCGTTAAACTGTGAAAGAAAAATGTTCTCAGAACTAGTGCTTAAATCAGTAGCAAATACCATGTTCAGGTTTGAATTTCCTAAAAAATATAAAAGTGAAATGAAACGTCTAGTAGCAATACTTAGTCTCATTATCATCAGCTATTGTGGATAATCTTTAACACGACTAGACTTTCGTGGATCTTAACCAACACCATTGAAAGTATTGTTAAACTCTTACATAGAGTAAATACTTAGAAGACCAGATTTTTTTTCAGTGGCTCCATAACTTATCTGTATTACCTGACGAAAAGCCATGAAAGTAAACAAATCAAAAAAAGGATCTCAAAGTTCGCTCATAGAAATAAAGATATAAACAAGCCAAAGCTACCACATCTAATAAACACTATATGAGAACAAATGTTGTTAAATCAAATCAATGAATCGAATACACTGTACTTATGAGTTGTTTTATTTGACTTGGTATATTACTTCAAAAATAAGTAAAAACAATCAAACAAAGATTTTGTCCTAGGGAGCTACTTAAACAATAAAAATTCACTCATATAATTATAATTGCCAATTATAATTTTATAAAACTAAATTTATTCCTAACTATATCTAAGTTTACTGGGATACGTATGATTATATATATAGTAATGGATAAAAATGCTATTTACCTTCCTCGTTGTATTTTCATTATTTCTTGTCGAATATGAAAATATCAGTGACGTCCACTGACTATATACTGTAGACTCTTTTCAATCTCTCTTTCTCTCGTTTTTTTCTATTTTGATTTTACGTTCTGTTCCTTTTCGTTATAATTTTGTCTTTCTTGTGTGAAGTTATGCCTGAATAGTTACGTTTTAGCTCCTTAGTTTTGTGTTACATACAGGACTGCCAGAAAAATTCTGAGTTTTAAACGTTTCATATTATGACTCAATAGTATAACTGTTCACAACAGAAACAATAGAAAACATATCCACTAACATTCAATACTATTTGATTATAAGATGTAAACAGATATCAATTTCTTTTATATTCGCACTCATTTAGTATGCGTCGATCACATAGAAATAA